CCACCACCGCCAATACCAACCATCAGCACCACCAGCACCGCCAGCTCCACCTCCGCACACCACTGGCACCACCGCCACTACCACCGCCACCACCACCACCACCACCACCACAACCACCACCGCCACCGGTACTACCACCACTACCTTCTACATCCAGACTATTAGGCAAGCGACAGTGTTTCTCGTCTGGGAGATTGGTTTTGCTGGCCGGTGTTCGAAATGCCAACGTTTTTTGTTGTCCTAGCTCCCGAATATCGCAACAGCAGCGAAGGCTCCACGAAGTAGGAGGAGTTCTTGTTTTGGACGTTCAGCATTTGCTCATCCACCTGCAGAATTAAGATCTTGCGAAGCACCTCTCAGCTCGTGCCAGGTTGATCTTGGTCGTTTGGAGTGCTGACATACAAGAACGACATGTCGTCTGAGGTCCGTAAATATTGTCCATCTGTTGCGCTCCTAACCTATGTAACGATTCTTTAGTAGAGGAGTGATGCTTGACCATTGATGAGCACTCATGTTCCTCCAACGGACTGAACATGGCTGAAAACTTCAGACACAGCGAACAAAACTACAGGAAAGCACAGGCAAAGGAACATGCTCGTTCAAGACGTTGTGAAATTACACAGTTGACTGCGATGATAATGATAATCCTGATGCGAGTAACCCTCCTCACCATGACTGTAGTCCGAGTCAGCATTCATGACTTGCCCCCTTGCTCCCTCCAGTCGTAGCCATCTCTAGTGTCGGCAGCGATTTTGCAGTCCTTTAGTCTAGCACAGGACGCTCGTGATGGAGTTGGGTCCAAGGCTTCAGGGGGTGCTTCCGCATGCCTCCTTCGTGGACATCCGGCCGCGGAAGAGGGCTGCCGCAGTCAGATAGCGTCCGTGGCGGGGGTCCGCGGCACACATCCTGATGTCACAGTGAGTCAGGGCTTTCGGCTCGAGGTGTGGTCTTCAGTATTTGGGAAAAGAATAAGAGGAGCTCAGCTGTTGCCTCGGGACCTGGAGGAAAGGCAAAGGACAAAAGACAAATAAACTTCCTGGCCAGGGGGCATGTTTTTGGCGTCGAACATCTGCTGGGTCAACTCAGGAACCTGTACGGATTCTCTGACCAGCCGTGCTTTGCTGAAGGTCTGCAACTTTTTCGCCCAGTGGCTGTCAGGGCCCGGTACTGCTGCGATCCACGGGAGGTCAACGGGGCAAAGCCGGTCATGAAGAAGTGCAGGCCTCAGAGACGGATCGGATTTCGGGTACGGCGTTCTTCGACTTCTTGCAAGAGGACAAATTCCGTTCAGCCGCGCGGGAAGGGCACCAGGTTCACAGCGATCTTGCGCAGGTCGCAGTTCAGCCTTGGCTTCCGAAGCGAAGCGACTCTGCTGTGAACAGCCGCTGCTGAATACTGTAGACTGGAGACTATCACGGACCGCTCACCGAACCCGCAGATTCAGACTCCAAACATGGAGTACGAACAACACGCCTCGGCTGGGCAGGCTAGCGGCTGACCGGGGAAGCGCAAGCAGCAGGTCACGCCACTCATAGCAGCAGAGACCAAGTGATTCAGATCGCCGTAAGTTGGCGTCGTCAGCTTCCTCGGCAAGAAGCCAGGGCAAAACGTGTAGAGTTCATTCTCTCTCGGGACAAGACTATCGACGAGCGACTGGAGATCTTCAAGCGCATCTATGCGGACCAATGCTCGTGAATCGCTACCTGGTACCGTTTGACTAACCTCTTGCAGTTCCTGGAGGTCCAGAAATCCAAAAGAACTCAAACACCCCCGGGCTCTTCTGAAACTGCCCATAGCCAGGTCGCAACGTTCGGAAGCAAATATCGTAGAGCGCTTCGTTGTCCTGACTGGTCTTAAGTCCTGCCCCCTACGTATCTACGGCATCTCAAGATCCAGAAGTCATATCATCATGTTGTATCGTAGCCTTTCACGAATGGTCAGCTTTAAGTGGGCAGGCGGCCAGCAGGAAGGACTCATCGGAGTTCTCCACGAGCTGGTGAAAGCTCAGGACGGCATTGTATGGCTCCACCACCGTGTCAGAGACCTTGGGCGACGGGATCACCGAGAAGGTCTCCATGATGCGGTCCGGGTACCTTGGATTGGACTTCGGCCCAACACACCCTGGCGACAGAGGTCGCAGGGATTTTCCAAAGGCTTGTAGAACGTCAGCATCTCTGCTCAACATTCCGTTGCGGTTGCAGTTGCAAAATCTGTGTTGCTATCGTCCACATTTCCTTCTAGTAGTTGCGCCTGTGGCGCTTGTTCAGTCGCAATGAAAGGGGAGGGCAACAAACGAAACTGAATTGCAATCCAGGCACTCCTCACGCACCTGGAGATTCGCGGGCTGAGGCACGGAGCATCTTGTGAAGCTGAGAATCTGATTTTCGGTTCAAGCTGATACTCCAGCTCCGAAGACTTCAAAGCTCTTTTGATTAGCAGTCTTGAGGCTGCTTCGAGGCTTTCTAAGGCTTCATCGGATTGTCCCGGAAGACCCCAAAAACGAAATCCCGCCTAAACCGACAGTTACCGGACCTGCTGTCTAAACCCCGTCGGACCTCTTTGCTCTCAAGTTCCCGCCTTGGAGATGAGCAGAGTGCCCATGCCAGCGCCGGTGCCGCCACCGAGAGAGTGGCAGAGCTGAAAGCCCTGAAGGCAGTCGCAGCCTGCGCAGAATGGCACTCACATGTCTGAGGTTCCCTGTGAGCGCGGCTATTTTGATCTTGGCTGTCTGATAGTACGCACTTGAAGGTGTAAGGGCCTTGCTCCTCAAACCTCAACCAACCTGCAACCCGATGCTCCCGTCGTAGCGTGGGATCTGCTGCCTTCCGCCTCCTTGCGGACCACGTCGAGCACAGAGTCAATCAGCTCAGCACCCTCAGCTCTCTTGGTGTCTGTGGGTGGGATATATAGGTCTGTGCCCTGGCCCCTTCAGGCAGCGGTGCAAAAGATCCATTCAAGGAAGCAGGCTGCAGCGGCTGAGACAGGATGTTCGAAGCTCGTGTTGATCTCAGCCCCTGGCCTCGGTGTAGTGACCTCAGTCTGAGACAGTAGCGACCCCGAAACGATCGAGATAGTTGCCAGGCATCCGACCCTTGGCCCAGTTGTTGCCGGCTCCTAGCAGCAGGACATGTGAATTGTGTCAGATCGTACACCACATGCTGCTGTGCGCTGTCCTGTCTGTCCAAACACGAAGTTGTCGGGACGGAAGAGCTGACCAAAAGGCCCGGCTCGCACGGAGTCCATGGTTCCTTGCATGTAAAGCTGATGCTGCTGCGGATAGAACCCACGGACGACGAAACCCACGAAGGAGCCTGGTTCAAGATCCATCAGGACCGCTCGAGGAACGTAGCGTCCTCCTGTCGCCTCGTTGAAGTACACCTGAGACGCCCCCAGAATGTCGGGAAGTCACGCGCTGTGTGCGCACTAATGCATATTGGAGTCTCGATTTTTAACGGACAGCCTATTCTGCCACATCGGAACTTCGCCGACTCAAGGGGCTTATTTTCAGGGTTTCGATGTGCCGAAGCCACATTGATGCGCTCCAGCTGCAAGTCCGAGTCTCCATGATAGGTGCCTGCATCACTGCATGACTGACTCTTATCTGGGTGGTTGTCAAAGTTATGGTCCCCTTTTGGGGTACCCTAAATAATAGGTGCCGTATTATAATAAGGACCCAAAAAGGGACCATAATTTTGACAACCACCCATCTGTTGATGCAAGGGCTCCTCTTCGGGAAGAACGGGTCTTTTTCTCAGGGTTGGGTTTCAGGGAGTTCGGGTCTCAGATTGAATCCATCAGCCGCGCTGGATCCCTCGGGTTGGCAGGACGCTTCCTAGCAAGAATGGCTCAAGGCTTAGCGGCGGCTTCATCCTGCACGAAAGAAGCACACTTCGTTTTCAGGCAAACAAAAGCCACCAACCCACCAGACGGAAGGGAAGGGACTAACTTATTGCACGCCTGTGGGGTCGATGCCGTGCTCGTCGGCAATCACCTGCGGTTTTTTGGGAGGGAGGATGAAATTTGTCGGGTCTCCGGTTGCAATTACACTTCGAGACACTCAAAAAACTAACATGTGTGAGGACCTGGACCCGATTTTGTGCAAGCCATCCTGCACGATGTAGTCACAAACAAAGCTAGAAAGCACGGCAGAGCCGACAGAGTTTGGAACACTTCGCAGTGGTTGAGGTGCTGGGCGGAGGGGTTCGAAAGGCAGCAAAACGTCCAACAAGCCAGTCTCCCAGCCACTATCGCTCGTGGTATTTGTAGTCCACTCTCTCGGACGTATGCCTTCTGAAAGGGTCACGCGGCAACACACACAGACAGAGACAGAGCGTGCTGAACCATCTGAACCTGTCTAAGTACGTACGAAGCCCACGTGCTACACCCTGAGGGTGCATGCAGCTTCTACGAACCTCAAGAACTTGGTTCTAAATACCGCCACCCTCCCGATCTCTGGGAAGCCTGGAGGCCGAAGGAGGCGAACAAACCCATCATCGCAGTATCGAGTGGTAGAAATGGCCATTACTCGGAAGGATAATGGTGTATGAAATGCGAATTGATAAATCAGAAAATTCCGGAGCCTCCCAGAACTTGGCACCGATCTGGTTGCCGCCTGCAGGAATGCAGAGAGCCCTTTGGTAACAATCTACAGACACGCCTGATCTGGGGGAAAACCAGGGCTTCAGAAGACTCGGGACTAGGGGGTTTTGGGATCAGTTCTCTGCAGCCGAAAGTTGTATGCCAAGACGCACTGGCCACCCTGGACGTGCACGAGCTCACGCATGGCTAGGACAGGAAGGAGGCGACGGACGTCTCGGAGGTTGCTTGAGCCTCTTCGGAGAAGCTTGCGGACACGGAATCCCTCCTCGGCGTTAGGCCGTTAGGCCTTAGGCTCTCGGGTCCAGTATCATCGGCAGTCGCAGTGCCTGAACGGCGGGGGTCCGGCTCGAAAGGCTTCCACCCAAGATGTCGCAAATGATACACGCACACACACACACACACACACACTCAGACGTCTGCAGTTCGAGTTCGTCTTGTACATATTCTTAGGCAACCTGCGTAGGTTTCAGTCTTCATCTACCTATACTGAACTTGGGACCCTACAGGTAGCAAAACTCATAATTTTGGCTGTTAGTTTTAAGTACCCCTAAGCTACCCTACGACATGAGAGTGTCAAGGTCGTGACCGTGCTTTTTTAGCCATCGTCCCACCAACTGCGCAAGTTGGTACGACTTCAGGCCAGACGTGCCCTCAAGGTGTTCTTGAAAGCGTGCAAGGGGATGAATTCCCCCGGCTGCGTCCCCTTCAAGCATGCGGGCGAAGCCAGGGTCATCACAGCTCTGAAACGCTTTGCGAGCAGGGGCTCTGCGACGCTTCGGAATCGCACTTAGCCGTCGTACTCGCCCTCCTCCTCATCGAACTCACCTGCAAGATTCTCTGCGTGTGTGTGTGTGTGTGTGTCTGCGCGTACGTGCATGGTTTGTCAAATGGCCATTTGAAAAGCTGCACTCCACATGCCGACAGCCGAAGCCAAGTGGTTCGGCACGCCCGCCCCACCTTCCTCCTCGGCGGTAGCGTCCTGCCGCGAGAACCATGACACTCCAAACCGGACAGTTTGCGGCTGTTCGTGTGTGCCTGGTACTGCTGGTACTCCGACACCAGGTCGTTCATGTTCGACTCTGCCTCGGTGAACTCCATCTCATCCATGCCTGCACGGAAAGTCAGACCTGGTGAGCTCGACTCCCTGGCCCGGCAAATTTGAGCCTTCGCCGGTGTACCAATGCAAGAAGGCTTTGCGGCGGAACATGGCCGTGAAGTACTCGGCCACCCTGCACCGTCGTTCTGATAGAGATTCTCGGGACGTTCTCGAGGATCTCACTACAGAGCTTCTAGACTCTGGACTGTCCGGGCTCCACTTGTGGGGTTCAAGGAATCAGCCTGGACTGCAGGCAACATGCTTCCCCTACTCTGTGACCGACAGGAACTGTTTTGCTCCGGGGCAAACGGAGGAGCCTCTTGAACATCTCCTGGATGGCGGTCGAATTTCCCGCAAAGGCGACAGCCATCTTGAGACCTGCAGCTATCAAAAACCAAACAAGGAAAGCCCCGGACTACTTCTCTTCGGATCACAAGTCTTGCTGGGTGCTTTAGCATTGAGGGTTTAGGACAGTCAGTCCGCTAGTTGCAGCAGGGCGTCCTTTTGGAGGGATATCGCAAACGGACGCCTTGATGTTGTTGGGGATCCACTCCTCTGCCGGATTCAGAGCATGAGCACGACGGCACGAACAAATACCACCAGCCTGGCATCCTTGAAGCCTACAGTACCAAAACCCGGACGAGACTCTACGAAATAGGAGGAGTTCTTGTTTTGGACGTTGAGCATCTGCTCATCCACCTGCAGGACGTACCAGGAAGCGTTGGGGGCTTTTGGGGTTTGGGGTATAGGGTTTAAGGAGTTCCCTTCAAGGCCAACAGTCTTCCATGAGAGCCAGAGAATTGAAGCCTTCAAGGTGTTACGTATTGGTATACACCGGAAAGTCTGCTGGAGTCAGCGAGACCAGAACCATCAGTTCGCAGATGGGCGTTGGTGTTCGGCGTGCAATCTCCAGAAACCACAACTCGACCTTGAAACCTCCCGCGCGTACCACCTACCCCTAAACTCTGCAACCTGAGATGTTTAGCCTTAAAAGTACGACAGCTCCCCAGGTACTGCAGTCTGCCGACTTCAGGACATAGCTGCCTCTTCTTATTCGCAAGTGGGCGGCAAGTCGTGCGTAACACTTTGAGTTTGCTGATGAGGGTCTGCACCCATATGGCCCTCGGCAGAATTTCGAATGTTCAGCT